CGCTATGATCGTGACTTCCTGTAGTCTTCACTAACATCGATCCTATGGTAGTAGCCGTCGCTTTACACCCATTATGTCGTCGTATACATCTCCAGGATATTTTGTTTCCATGGCAGTAGTCTTGACGATATTTATAATTATCATACACTAGTATAATCGCACCTCGTTTACTTTTAGTTAATATAAAATTCGGCTCTCCTGTAATTATAAAAAAAAAAAAATTAAAACATATATCAGAAATACGGCATACTTTATAACTTATATTTTTCTTTTACATAATAAAGTGCAATTATTCGACGTTTGCTATTATCGAAGTTACTTTAATTATATATTATTTTATTTTAATTATACCTTCTTTAATTGTTTATTTTTATTAATGTGTGATATAATTTTTGTTTATTTAATGACGTTTCCCTTTACATGATTTCTAGCAATATAACAACGAATTTTATAAAGATCAGTTTATAGGAATAGTGAATATCGCTAGAGATAGCTCTATATGAGTCATCGGGGTTCTGTAATGGATGATAATAAAATAGTAACCCCGTCTGCACTATCGGCATACGCTGGCGCGGGACAAGTGAGGGATGATAGATAAGGATGAAGTCAGGTCAGTTGGCCCATCGTGACGAATTTGACGATAATTTATCACGATGGTTTCCAGGGGGAACCGCGTGGAGGTCGAACTGACAGGGTATATTGCTAGCAATGGGAATTAACGTCGTACCCCATTACTAACAATCCTTTTTCTCTCCCGAGACATCTGGGTTAGGTATAGGGTGGCCCAAAGTCCTTAGAAAAGTAAAATTTGAATTTTCCATTTTTGTCGCGATATCACCGTGCGTTTTGTGTGCGCGAGTTTTGTCAAAACAACAATTGTAAATTTCGAGAACACAAAGGTTTGTTTATCGATTTAATGTCACATAGGAACAAAACATGGACACATCAAGTTTTTGACATCGTTACAACGGATTTGAAGAAAGTATTATATTGTGTGGAATTAACAGAAACTGATGCTATTCAGAGAGTGAATTATGATAATGAAATGTTTAATCGGTTTACTTCGTTCAATAACATAATGTTCTCTGATGAGGCACACTTCCACATTAACGGACATGTTCCCGTGGGCGACATAGCCCTAAAGTTACAAAAGACGCCTTACTTTTTTAAAGGAGGATGATGGGGATGGAACACCTCCAATACTGCTATCGTTATTCAAAAACATCTCTAAGAGAGGAGACATTTCCTAACTGCGGATCTGCAATGGATTTTTTTTTGTGGGGCTATCCTAAAGTGTACGACTCTGCGGTCAAGCATGCAGAGAAATGGCAAGCATTTCAGCTGACTGCCGCGCAGTTCGACAAAAAGGCGTTTGCAAGAGTGTCGTGACTGTAACGGATTACATTTGGACGACGTTATTTACAAAAAATAATTCCCATTTTTCTAACTATATTTACAAATAAAAATATTATTCATAGTGTGTAATTAGTTTATATTTTTTCATTACAGTGGGCCACCCTGTATTAGTCGTTTTATGTATTTATTTAGCCTCCCATATTAGCATTAGAGCAATGCGATTATGGGAGGTTGATTTATTTTGAAATTTTCTTCAAACAAAAGATAATATGTTAGTTAACACTGATAGCGCATAAGAATAACATAATATGCTAGCTGTATCTCGTGATTTCGCCAATGGTTCTATCGTGATATTGCGGACTTAAGAAACTTCAAAAAATAATACAAAAACATGTACTTCAGAGATTCATTTAAACAAACAACTTTTGTATATTATTTCTGCGATGTTTATATTTATGTCAATAGGCGATCAAGTTTCTGCATAAATATCCCGTGGGCGACGTAAGAGAATTAAAAGATAAAATGAGTGGGTGGTTTATGTTCATTACAAAAATATATTATTTGTTCCCCTCAATGAAGATACATATTTTTCATTACAACTTTTATTTTCTAAAAATAAATTAAAAGATATGATTTGATATAAAAAAATATATTCATTTATAATAGTGAATCGAGAAGGATAAATTTGAATACATTTAATTTAATATTCTCCATCGTGACAATGAATACCGCTAACCTTCACTAATGTTGAATCTATAGTAGTGACTGTATGACATCATGATGACATCCACTATGCCGCCGTATGCACCTCCAACATATTTTTTTCCTGCTGGAATTATCTTGGTAGTATTTAAACTGTTTATGGACTAATATAATTGCACCACGTTTGCTTTTAGTTAATACAAAATTATCACCTATTACACGTAATGTTCCTATAGCGAGTACAATGCAAATAAAATTAATAATGCCCAATTTAAATAACTATTCTACTGTAGTCTATTTCAATAAAGCTTAATAAAAAAGGTAAACAAATTTAGTGGATATTATCACAGAAACAGTTTTTAAATGAAATTACTAAATAATAACGAAATAATTAATCAACGATTTGTACAATTATGGAACATCACCAGACTATTGGATTTGTCGGGTAAAATCATCCGATTGTTTACATTTTTAATAAGTTCCACTGAATTATTCACGAAATTATACTGTCTAAAAAAGATTATTAATTTAATTTGTTTATTGTTTCCAATAACAGGAGTATTATATTTTTATTATTGTTTATCTTTAAGTACAAATCTCAAGATTAAACATTGATAAATTCGTTTAAATATGGAAAAAATAAGTAATTAAAAATATATTGCTTAACAATGGTATATATAGAAGGAAAACTTTGGATATATTCTAACATTCTTCGTCGTGACAATGACTTCCGCTAATTTTTACCAATATTGACAGTTTTACACTCAAAGTACTATTGTATGCACCTCCAACATATTTTAGCATTACAATAATCTTTTATAGACAAGTACAATTTGTACTTAATTTACATTTGTTTAATATAAAAATATTATCTATTTAAATTTCCCCATACAATTAAAATTCTTCGTTGTGACAATGAATTCTGTTAATCTTCACTAACATTGATTCTACAATAATGATTGCACCTTTACATCGTTCTGTCGCCGTATGCATCTCCAACGTGCTCGAGTCCCTCGACAATAATCTTAGCGATATTAAAAAATTTTATCTTCTAATTTTTTATCTTAATTTCCCCATATAAATAAAATTGATATAAACTTGAATACATTCTAATATTCTTCGTCGTGACAATGAATTCCGTTATTCTTCACTAACATTGATTCAACAGTAATGACTGCAACTTTACATCCGTTCATTCGCCGTATGCATTTCCAACATGCTTGAGTCCCTCGACAATAATTTTGGCGATATTTAAATTTTTTATCTACAAATTTATTTATCTTAATTTCCCCATACAAATAAAATTTATATAAACTTGAATACATTCTAATATTCTTCGTCGTGACAATGAATTCCGTTAATCTTCACTAACATTGAATCTACAGTAATGATTGCAACTTTACACCCGTTCTGTCGTCGTATGCATCTCCAACGTGCTTGAGTCTCTCGACAAGAATCTCGGCGATATTTAAATTTGTTATGTACTAGTATAATTGCTCCTCGTTGACTTCTAGTTAGTACAAAATTATTACTTAAATCTGTAACCAGTAAAAAATATTAATAAAATTTACAGGGTGTAATCGAAATCGTTAGTATTCTTTAAAAGGAATATTTTACCAATGAAGCTGAACACTTTCTCACACTAACATAGTCTGGTCCAAGCATAGAATGGTTATGGAATTGTAATGAAACTTAATGGTTGAGGGATGAGCAGAAACATGTCTCTTAAAACATCACCAGCTGCGGTTGACAACTCGCTTGCCAAGTGTAGCCACTATTGGCAAAATCCCCACAATGATGTATTAGCCCCGTACATTATGACAGTCAATGGGGAAGACTTATGTTTAACAGTGGACAGACAGATAACGGCTGACATAATGATGATGATACTAACACACCGCGTTCTGCTATTGAGTTAGTACAGGAGATTAATATTTCGTTTTTGAATTATTTATTTACAAAATTTATATCCTTATATGTTCTATAACATGAGCATATTCTCAGTTTTACATACCGATAACAATTTTGATATCGCCCTGTATACGAAGTTATAAACTAACCTATCGACCATCTGTATCATCATCATTGTTATATCAACCTTCAACTGTTCACTGCTGTACATAAGCCTCCCCCTTGGGGGGTTTTACCAGTTGTTGTCACGCTTAGCAGGCGGATTGACAACTGCAGTTAGGCTTTGGAGATGTTTTAAGAGAGACGCTGCTGCCCATCTCTCGCCTTCCCTTAGTCGCCACTTACGACACCCACGGGAAAGGAAGAGGGTGACCTATTCTATGCCAGGACCACACAGCGTCTATATGCAAACTGCTATTTTATAGTATTTGGAACATATGACATCATTACATGATTGTTTATCACACGTAAGGAAGAAAGGGGTTGAGGAAATAAATTGAGACAACCTCATATTATCGCAACGTGAAAGAAAAAAAAAAAACAATTTTACAATTCAATCGTTTTCAACTATTAACATTTGACGTCAGTGAAAACAGTATAATTTAATAACAATTGATATACAGTTATCAAAAATAAATTGACTAATGACGATGCTTTCAACATTAGAACATTTTTTTTAATATAATTTTATAAATGGAAAGAACATTCTTCATCGTGACAATGAATTCCGCAAACCTTCACTAACATTGAATTTATAGTAACGACTGCAGCTTTACATCCTTTTTTTCGCTGTACACATCTCCAATACGCTCTGCACCCACGAACACGGTCTTGGCGATATTTGAAATTTTCATGGACTAGTACAACCGCTCCCCGATCACTTGTAGTAAATATAAAATTAGAATTTAATGCATTCTCTCCTGTAATCAGTCAAACACAGACAAAACATAATAATGATATTTACATATATTTCTGACGCTCGCTCAGTTTTCCACAATTGTAAATATGAATAGGTATCTAGATTCAACAAATATTTGCCAATAATATTTTAATGGTTTAGATATACAATTACAATGAAATCAATATTCTTAAATTATATCTGAAGATCAATAATCTTAAAATAACAAAACATTCTAATACAAACTAGATGCGTACTAGGAAATTACATAACACCTTGAATACAAATAAAGTGTTAAGCCAAAAATATAAAATGGAGTTAATTTTTAGTATCACTACCATCATCATTTGCTGCCTCTAGTATTATAGATTTATCAATAGTTACATTTTCCTGAGTTGCTAACTTTGTGTTGTCTTCTACAGTAGCCGAGTCATTAGTAGCCAAGTTATCCGGAACAATCAAACTATCATCTTGTTTATTATTTTGATTCGTAGTCGGTTGATCTGTGTTAGTACAGTCAGATGTAGTTTCTTGAGTGATCTCAGACACAGCAGGTATCTGTGTCAGTGGCTCATCGATACTATTTGCTTGACCATTACTACTAGTAGCATTATTATCTAGAGGGTCTTCAACGGTTTCTTTAGTGTCAGCGTTGTATTCACTATGTACGTCTACAATTGATGGTACTGATGTAAAATGGAAACTATCGTTAAACGTTGCAAGTTGAGTTTCTTTGTTACTTTCAAGTCCAAATTCTTCACCATCAGATAGAATTTCAATCGGAGCCTCATCTCTGACAACTTCAATGACATCATCATCTGAACCGGTATCTTGAATAGCTTCTGATTCAACACCACTGATTACCATATTTATACAATCGTTCTCTGCTTCTGAAAACGCATATTTATTAGGCACTAGTAAAAACTAATAATGATTTAGAATATAAGGCTAATCATGTCATTCCTCTATTCTATAAAAGAAAATTATGAATTCGTAGCAACATATTTATTGTCAAGAACTGTAGTTAATTATAAGAATAACAATTAATAGGCGTAGGATTTTAAGTAGTATTTATATGTATGCATATTAATATACACACAACCGTCCATGATGGTTAAGGCACGTAAATAATATTCCGAGCATAATACTCTTTACTATTGCGTTTATGTTATTAAATATTTTAGTTTATACGTGCTTAGATAATTGTTCTTCTTATTTAACACTAATTATGATGTGACGATTTGTTCACATATGAAAGTTTAAAAAAATAATTAAAATTTAAATCCGTATAGGTTTTACAGGGATTTAACGTTAGTATAAAATTACAATTAAAAAGTTTTAAAAAACTACATTACTACAAGATAATAAAATAACAATTTAACACTAGAAAATGTTCAACTAAATGAATAAAGACGTAACTAAATAAATTTCAATCACTACCTCCACATGGCGTTCGATCCGAAAATCCATCATATGCAGTTAGTTAAAGCCCAGTTAGTTTTTAACCGGTGACTCACATTTCAATTACTACCCTTTACTAAATAAATGGGAAAATGAGTTTGTTTATTATACGTTGGCGGCTTAAACAATAGTCATAAAATTTGATATAAACATACTATTTTGGATGGAGGACATAGGCTGTCTATTCCAATCAAGCAAACACATCTCAATCATGCGACGAGGTCGTCAGTATGCTCGTAAGTTTAGTAGCATCGTCACATGTCATTTAAAAAATAGTCGATATAGTATAGATATCGTCCATAAATGATATAATACTTTCTCGGGATGACGCCATATGCGGAGATATTGAGGTCGATACTGAAGTGTCATTTCTTTAAACCTATCTCTAAAATTAACATTCCAATTTAATATCACAGCGAAATCTTTATTCTAAGGACCAATATGAACTAAATTTCTGAAAGATTTAAGTCTAAATTATTACAAATTTAATTTATGATGGTCCATAAAAGAATAATTTTGAGAAACTATCAAATCAAAATATTAAGTTAAAATGTTGGTAAAATTTTGTTCTTTAAATTGCGCCTCAGAATCGATCCCAGTGACTGACAGTTTTAAAAATTGTTTTAACAATTTTTTTTCATAACAGTTAATTAAGTTATGCTTAAACTAAAAGTTTAAATTTATAATTTGGATATGTTTCAGTTTTAAACTAAAGTTTATTTAATTTAACTAAAAAAAAATTATTGATCATGATTGTGACAATGTTGGTCGATAATGCTCACTATTTCTGAATCTATTGTAATAGCTATGGCCCTACATCCATTGGGTCGATGAATACAATTCCAGAACGCTTTGTTCTTATGTTGAAAATCTAGAATGTATATAAAATGTTCATGGAATAGTGTGCGTTTTTTATCGTTTTGTGCATCTGCTTCTACTTTATTTTCAGTTAACAAATCACCATGATCCTTTTCATTCGATTTTTCTGTAACCAGACAATCACAAAAGTATAAATTATGTAAACAATATGAATATAAAACATAATAAAATATTTGTTTTCAAATGTACCGTACTAATATTACAATGTGGAAATTCATAAAGAACTTTGTATCTTGTATCTATCATGAATTTTAATAAAAACTTTTAATTGAGTAGATATTGATTCAATAGATATTTATTTAAAGCTGGAGTGACAGGAAATTTAACAGACTTGACCGAGCGAATCATGGGATACAGTTTGACTTTTGTCTTTTGAAGTGCTCTTGTGATGTGCAATTACATAGAAGGTATGGCTTTTATAAATTGGATGGTCATAATTATATAAATATTCTGCAGTAAATTTTTCAGAATTATTCATTAAATCAAAATAAATGTACTGATTGATTTATTGGTTTCCTGATCGGTTGCATGTCTCATGTCAATTCTCCTTAGAAATGCATTCGTTGGTAGTTACGATTGCTAAGGTAACGGTAGGAAGTTGGTACGTTTTGGTATGATGCTAAAGAATAAATGGTGTTATAAATAATGAATTAAGTATAGATTGAATAGTCATAATAATGGAGTAAAATCTAAAAATAGAAAGGGATTGATTATAAATAGAGATGAAAAAAAAGGCTATTTTTATATTACGCTGATTCTAATGTGTGCTATGAATAGGCAGAAAGATCACGATTACTTTAAAGTATTAAACATTGAGATCGAACTAATAGCCAAAGTTAATGAATTAATAAGTTTTAGTAATATCATTCATAATAACTTACTAGTAGTATTACTAAGAGGTTCTCCAGCTCTTTTTTTTATATACATTTTGGGTCTATTACGGATAGTAGTTACTGCTGTTGGGGTTGCTGATTCTTTGTTGTTTTCAAGTTCTAATTCCTCTCCGTCAGACGATATTTCTATTGGAGCTTCATTTCTGATAACTTCAATGACATCATCGGAGCAGCTGCTGTCCATATAGGAGCTGATGCTGCTGCAACTGTTGCTAAAGATACTGTCATCATTGGATTCTAATGCATCTTCAGTGATCCGATTACTCGTACCATCCTTTTCCATTTCTGAAAACATATTATTGTAACTTGAGGCTGATAAACTTTACAATTAGAAATTAAAATTTAATTGTGTTATACTAACCAATATCTTGATTAGCTTCTGATGCAACTCCACTATTTTCATTATTGATGTGTTTTTCATCATTTACTGCTTCTGAAAACATCAATAACTCCTTAATCATAAAGTCAATTGTATTACATAATGTAAAATGCAATACAATTGAAAGAATCATACTAACCAGTATCTTGAATGGCTTCTGATTCAACTTTACTGTTTTCGTTACTGATATGAACATTTACTGCTTCTGAAAATATTAATAACTCCTTATTCATAAAATTTACACAATGTAAAATGCAATACAATTGAAAGGAACATACTAACCAGTATCGTTAATGGTTTCTGATTCAACTTCACTGATTTGATTATCCACGCGGACGTTATATTTTCTGAAATGTTTATTTTAATAAAATTTCTCATACGTAAAGGTTCATACTGTAAAAATTACTTTAACTGAAGGTTTTATACTAACCAGTATTTCGGCTGGATTCTGATACAACTTCACTGGGTTGAATATCCATACAAATGTTTTCTGCACCTGAAAACACACTTACATTTTTATTTTAGACACTTGTAAAATTAAAATATACATTTTGTTAATAATTTTTCCAACTCATAATCATAAGAAGACCCTTTACAGATATGTATTTAACATTTGTATGCCTTATGATGACAAAACGTAGTTTTCTATCCTCTTTCTTCTCGGGATAAGATTATTATTTGGGGTCACCGTAATATGTTTTTCTCTCCCATTCTTCTCTATTCGCAGTTACTTCCGCATTGGTGTAGCGGGTGAGCTTGTTTGCCCTCTATGTTTTTATAACAACTAGTAAACCGACTTTGATATAATTTATACAGGGCCAAGCTGTAAGTTAAAAAACGAATTTTTCAAATAGCTTTAGAATCGACGGAGTTATGAGGTAACAAATATAAAAAAAGTACAAGTACAACCGAATTGAGAACTTCCTTCTTTTTGAAATCGATTGAAAATTAAGACCTCACACTGACCGGAATCTGGTATGTCTCCTGGCATGTCTCCAACTCCACGATTTTCATTATCCACACAAACGTTTTCCATTTCTGAAAATAAATGTACATTAGTTACTGGTGCCGAGTTTAACAAGATTTACAATTTGAAACTAATACACTTTAACACTTTATACTAACCGGTATCTTGGACCGTTTCTGCTACAGGGTCACCGATCTGATTCTTCTTTTCCGCTTCTGAAAACATAAGTGTGTTTTATAATTAGATTAGATATTAAAATCGTAACAGATAAATAATTGCAATTATTAAAATTAAAGATCTCACACTAACCGGCATTTTGTGTGACTTCTGGAACAACTTCACTAATATTGTTATCCTTGCCAATGGTTTCTTCTTCTGAAAACATGTAATGTGTATTTATTTGTTTTATTTTTTAAATGGTAAACGAGGTGATGGCTGATCTAATGGATTTAATGAAAAGTGGTTACCATCGCCTATAGACATGAACAGCAACATCAGTATCACATTATATACTTGGAAGACCATGGTATTCTTCATCATACTTTGCCATTTCTTAGGATTACGATGTTATTCCTCTGTACCCTGTAGTCTGTAGTTTTACTATCATATCTAATTGCAGAATGAATTATGTAAAGATTTTTATGGTTATACTTTAAAAACTATTAACATTAAATATATCATCATATCAGTCGTTAACTACTGCTAAATATAGGCTTACATAAGGGGGATTTTGCCAGTAGTTGCCATACCTGACAGGCGGGTTGACAACCGCAATTAGGCTTTGGTGATGTTTTAACAGGGATGCAGCTGCCCATCCTTTGACCATCATATTCCTTTAGTTGTCTCTTACGACACCCACGGGAACACAATCACACACACACTCTCACAAGAACTGGTGGTCCGTTCTATGCCGGGACCATACGGCAAATGTATTACACTTACCAGCATTTTCAGTCGCTTTTGATACAACTTCACTGATTTGTATGTTCGTAGTACAGTTTTCTGTTCCTGCAAAACATATCTACATTAGGGACACATATTTACTAGTGATTGCTGAGAAAAGTAATTTAAATCTAATGAAATGGGGTTGTAGAGGGGATTATATGAAATAAAATTACGACTATATAGAAAAATATTTATTTATTAATTGTTATTATTTGTGACATGAAGGTATTGAGTTACAGTCTAGCAATTTCTCACAAATATCCCTTTAAACTAGAATATGGATATATATACCTACTATGGACCACAACACTTAGAATTACTTATATTTATGGGGTTTTATTTTAATTTTTATCCATTGACCCTTTGCACTTCTGCCTAGTAACTCATAGAGGATACCAATAACTCTAGCACTAATTACTAACAGGAACATACCTGTGATGTAAAAGAATAATGGAGTCGTTCTAATGAAACAAAACATTTATTTCTTAGCTATTTTATAAAGGGTACATCTGAGTCAGTAAAACAACCGTGTCACCGGTGGCGTAGTCGCGACAGTCGATTTAATGTAACCATTTTAATGTCGCAAATACGGCGACAACGGAGTGTAAAGGGTTAAGCGTTAAAATAGTAATAATATAAAAGAGGCCCTGTACCTATTATCGATTGGAATGCATCGGGAAAATAATTTATCTGAACTAGTTCCAATCTAGGTACTTTTAATTGTATTTGAGAGGTCCTGTTGTCGGATTTTCCTTGCTAGGTTAGTTTATTATTTATATTACTGTAAATTTTTATACCTAAATCCAAATAAAAATGAAAATAAAAGATTTATCTTTGTAAAATGAATATTGGATATATTAAAATATTTGTAAACTACACCTGTTTCAAAGGTTATTTTATTAAATAAATGCTGATAAATTCCTCGAAAGTCTGACAGACAGCACATAAAAATTTAGCCAAAAGAAAAAAAGAAGCAAAACGCTGTTGAATGTGATTTTTATTAGTCAGAGAATTTAATGAAAATGTATACTTTTCATTAAATTCTGTTGAACCAGACTTGCATATGTTTATTTTGTGAGACATTTATTGGACAGACTATGAGATAGTTATCAACATATTTTCAGTATTAAGAATTTTTTTAAACTTATATACTAAAATTTAATAACAAAAAATATTATTAGACTTTTAATAAATGTCTATATTTACAATTACTAATAATATTATTATAATTGAGTAGCGTATAATTTTATTAGTCAACAACTAGTTCAAATAACTAGCTAACTAGCTGACAAATAGTTCAAATAAATAAAAAAAAAAGCAATACGTAGTATACGTATTCATATAAATAATATTGCATTCCGTTGCCATTTGTTACAGTAAAAAAATTATTGCTACATTTATATTTATAATTATAGTAGCAATTCTTCCAGCATTTACAGTAGAAATTTTGAGACTGTAGTTTTTCCACTTTCCAATCAGTGATAAGTATCGTTAAATTCTATTTAAAATTTGGTTAGTAACACATACATGGACCAATGTTGTGTTTGAACACGAAACATTCTTGTTCTTTTTTTTATTCAATGTAAATATGCTTGTTAGACATTTTACAAACAATTTGCAATCGTTACTTCGTTGGACATATTTTTTGCGTTGTTCTTTTAACTTTATCTATGTACTATTAGAACTTACACTCAAAATGGAATCACCTTTACGTTTACATTTCTTTTAAAATATTTGTAGCACTTAATTCTCGTATCGTATATTTACAAACCAAAATAAAAATGATAAAATATTATAACAGGCACATCAAATTCGGCTTATGGTTGACGTGATGATTATGTCCACCCAGTAATATGATGCGTCCATCTACGATTCTGACTTTGCCTTTGCATGACAGTGAACTCCTTTTGGTACAGCGCCAGTAACTCCTTATTTCATCACCATATTCCCGATGATACCGGTAGCCTGCTAGCAGCAGCACCTTCCCACCTTTGAGCGTCGTGTAAATCCGACCTAATAGCAGAATGAATAATATTGATATTAATAATTAAAAGAAGATTATCTACTGGTATTAGTATTATATTGTTCATTTCATTTTCATGGGTTCCACTAGTTGATTGTGTATTATAAAAATGTTCCATTATTAATAAAAACTGAAACCTATGGAGGGTTTTGTCACATTCTTTTAAATTGAGAATTTAGGCACAAGGATAAAATAGCTAAAACAGATTTGACGTTCGACTATGATTTATGGATAAAGAAGTTAATACCAGAAGGAGGCTTTGTACAAAAGTCGTTTGCTTGGGCACATCTATCCCATTCGTGTTTCAACCGTGAAGCAGTTGTATTTGCATGGCTGTGTTTCGGTTTGAAGGGTGGCAGGGATATGGCAGTGAATTTACAGGGTACATATGCATAACACCTTAGTCCTCAGGAATGGCAACGCATGGGAGGGTGTCATGGGCGAAACAGTATACTCTGTTATGTCCATGGTACTGCTCGTGTCTATAGGCTACGGTTACCACTTTCCATCAGGTCGATCATCAGCATGTTTGCAATTCTAAGTTGCTTAAAAAAATGTGCAATCAGGTATAATGTGCAAACTGTAAATGTTTCCTAATATTTTTTTAACGAGCTGGATTAATAAGCTGACAGCCCTTCTGGTAGAAAGTGGTCCATTTTTTTTATAAAATTATAGATAACACGTCGTACTATAATATACTGTAAAATTAATGAAAATTATACATTGAATTTGTCATTCTTGAGCACTAAGATGTTACATTTTCATAATTTTAATGCCATATTTATACAAGTATGGTTTGCAAAAGATAAATTGCTCAAATCATTAAAACAACATGTTGATTTATATAAAAATTTGTAATAACAAATAAATCTATTATTTACAACAAGTGATATGTTTCATTAATGATTATGTTTCCCAGTCATGTGGATGATTTGGATGCCTACTGTTTTAACTTTAACTTTACAAGGTGGGTTGTTGTAGTAAGCTGTGCAGTACCAGGTAATACTGTCCCCGCTTGTGTTGCGTTTGTTGAATGTATACTCGTTTACGTGTAAAATAACACCACCCCGCTGAGACGAAGTACAGTATATAGAACCTGCAGAAATTTGTATCTATTTCGAATTATAATACATTAAATATATAGCCCTTAGTTACATTATTTGCTTTTGCAAAAAACACAAACATCAAGAGGAACGAATTCAAATTATTTTATTAATACATGTTCACATTAATTGGGGTGTTTAAAAGATATATACTCGTAACGTACGTAAGAGTTGACAGAGTTATTGGAAAATGTGTTTATGTCAAATTCAACATTATTGATTTCAAACATACTAATCTTATATGATTGCTTTCATAGCAATATATATTTATAAAAAAAAAAAAACTAAACTTATACTTCAACTCTGTCTCTCTCTTTCTCTCTCTCTCTCTCTGTATATCAGAGGGCAAACACCTCCGGCTAATGTTTTGTTTTCGTTTATAAATAATATTATAAGATGTAATATTACAAATTTTTTTATTATCACATAACGCCACATAAAATCCCAAATAGACAGACTCGTTGTACACAGTTATTAATGTTCAATGTATGAGAATAAAAATAATTTATTGGACATTGATGTATGATGATATAAAGGCACAGAATTGAAGCCTCAAAGCCGGATTTTGTTACAAAACCGTCATCATTAGTTGTTTAACAGAAAATTTTAAACTACATAATTTTTTTTAAACATAACTTTATTAGCTTTGGTCTTGTCTTCGACTAGAGTATATGTTTTTTAGTTTTTTTATCTACAACTGCTTAGTCCAATTCCACATTGTAATCTGATAAGGGTGACTTAACGTTAATAAACATATCATTCAGTAACGTTTCTTTTGTTTTCTTAACCAGCCTTCCCAGTCTTGACTTCGATAAATGATATACCTTCGCTGTAGATCTGATAGTTTTACCTTCTTCGATTACCTCCCGTACCGCTTCATTTAATAATTTGGAGTCTTTACAAATTCTTTTATATTCGAATACTATACCTGATTTAGAATCTGAAATTTGGAAATACTATCATTACACAAGTGGGTAAAAAATATTATTTTGAATTAAATGAATAATTTATTATTTTACATGTAGAAATAAAAAAATTTGGTACAGAATAAAGAAGAATTAAATAATATGTAAACAATTATTTAAAAGACATGGCAAATAGTATATTTTCTACCCTTAAAAGTAAAAAATGTAGAAATTATACTCGATGAATGAATAGGTGCGTTCTTTTTGTCTTTATTAAAGAAATTGTGTACCTAATTAAAAAAAATAACAGTTCAGTATTGGATTATGGACAACTTTACCTTCTACATTATTAGTGAGTTTTCAATATAACTTCACATCAAGCTATTTTTTTTTTCACTAAATACTGACTTTATTTTGAGAGAGGAATATAGACTATTTTTCAATCAAATATGTTATAAAATCATATGAATTAGTCATTTGATCATTAACTTATACCCTTATATTATATAGATAGAGTATCTCCATACAAATGCTTCGAGAAAAGCGGGTCAACTTTTTTATAAAATACTGCGTCATAAATAATTATGAGTAATCACTATTATAACTTTTATATTTGTCTTATAAATTCTGCATTTTTTTAATACGTAAATATTCATTTTATTTATTAAATAATACGTCAAGATACATTTTATGCGTAAGTATATAAAACACTGGTAAAAACGAGTCAGCTAATTTGACAATTAGCTAATAAAAAGTTGACCTGCTTTAGAGACTCGATGCTTTATCTATATAATCTGAGCTTGTACCATCTGCCATTTGTTATATCAATATCCACACAGTATAAAACAAAGTCGGTTCCTGCCATCTTTAAATCTTAGATCTTTTAAACTACACAACAGATTTTTATGCGTTCAGTAGATAGAGATATTCAAAGAAGATATTACATGTGTGTAATTTAATATTGTTTTGCATTAAGTTGTTGAAATGTGACGGTGGTTCTTCAACATGTCAGAGGAAAGCTTTCATCGACAACGCTGAAATATAACAAAATAACGAAAAATGGAACTGTTCTTCTTTATTAGGACTACAGAAAATTCAACGATAGCATCCTGTACTATACAAATAGCTCTCTATAACCATTTTAATGTTTAAATCTATTATACAAATTACGTGGAGTGTCGAAAGTTATTTAGACGGACATTTTTTTTTATACAACTTAGAATGACAAACAAGCTGACGACCCACCTGATGGAAAGTGGTAACCGACGCCTATAGACATGAGCAGTACCATGGACATAACAGAGTATACTGTTTCGCCCATGATACCCCCCATGCGTTGCCATTTCTGAGGACTCAGGTGTTATTCCTTTGTACCCAGTAAATTCACGCCATATCTCACCCTTCAAACCGAAACACAGCCATTCAAACACAACTGCTTTACGGTTAAAACACGAAAGAGACAGAGGTACCCAAGCAAACGACTTTTGTACAAAGTCTCTCTCTGGTAAAAACATAACAGTAATATTATTAATCATTCCAAAGCGGATATAGGCCAGTATTTTTTATAAAACTACTAGCGGCCCGGTACGTGCCTCGCTACGTATAAAGTGAAATAATGATAAAAATAAATTTTAACATCAATATCGCCGACAATTTGCTTTAATCGAAGCACGTCCAAAATGAAACGACCGCATGAATGACATAACAACATGCTTGTACAGTCAACACTGAAAAAAGTTTGAATTTGACACAAACATCCCCATTAGCAAAATGATCCGCCATTTATTGAATTCATTTGTTACAAAAAATGTGATAAATGAAGAACCTCTCGACCGATTTTGTGCAAACTTCACATAAACCATCTACTAAATAGTCCGAACAAAGCTTAAGTATTTGGTTTGGATAGGCGAGTCCGTTCTTGAGTTATAAAATTACAACGAAAAGTGGCATTAATTTTTATATATAAAGATATCTAAAATAAATTAATTAAAATGATAACTTGCAATTTAAACGAAATAAGTGATCTTCAAACACACAAAACATAATTTATTACCGAAAAAATTATAGATCTATTACAATTATGTATATTTTAAATCACATTATAAAACACACACACACACACATATGCACAGATACATTCACATACACATTTTAAAAATATAATCAAATAATTCACACAGCATTGACATTACAAAACTAATTGATAAGAAAAAAGACAATTTCAGATTATGTTCCAAAAATAACGACTTCAATTCTGGTAAAACTAGGCATTTTGATTTATAAACATATTGAATCGATTTTAATAAAGTTTCTATGGAACCAATCTGTAAATACATACATCTTTTTAAATAAAAGAAAAATTTTCCAAATCGGTTCATAACTGACGGAGTTATGACGTAACAAACATAAAAACAATACACTAGAATTGAGAAGCTCCATGTTTTAGAAGTCGGTTGAAAAATAATTAATACTACTATAAGGAAATACTTTTATATAAACAAAAACCTATCTAATGACTAGATCTCTAAAATTTGTTTTTTTCACGCTTGGCTTATTTAGTAAACACTCCTCGCATGTTAAATTATACATAATTACATAATTATAACGGGTTCGCCGTGTAAGTCCCGGCATGGAATAGGCTCCCCTTCCTTTCCCGTTGGTATCGTAAGAGATGACCAAGGCAGTTTATGGTGGATAATATATTTATAATAATAATAATTTCCTAAGTCTAAATTTAAATTTCACATCAGTAACTGATGTCTTTTTTTTATACAATTTAGAATGGCAAACAAGCTGGCGGCCTATCTGATGGAGAGTGGTAACCGTCGCCTATAGACATGAGCAGTACCATGGACATAACAGAGTACACTGTTTCGCCCATGATACTCCCCATGCGTTGCCATTCCTGAGGACTCAGATGTTATTCCTCTGTACCCAGTAAATTTACGCCATATCCCACCCTTCAAACCGAAACACAGCCATGCAAATACGGTAGAAACACGAATGGAATAGAGGTACCCAAGCAATCGACTTTTGTACAAAGTCTCCCTCTGTCTTCGATCTTCTAGATATGCTCAATATTTCTGTCCACTATACTGACTTTTTCTCTAATTCATTCGCTATTCAGTCTATCAAGCATTGGAATGCTTTACACTTTGACATTAGATTTGCCCTAAGCAATCGGCATTCAAGCATAAACTACATTATTCTAATTAAAAATTCTTAGAATCGTAATATCGTTAAAACATTTTGCTCTGTCTGATGGCTGGTATTGTCCTTATATCTAAATTGTTTTTCGTCTGATATTATTTATTATTATATAATATGGTATGTATTATGTAGATAATATGAGTGTTATATGTATATTATTTATATGTTATTATTGCATTTTTCTGTTTATTTGTTCATCACATTGCACCGTCAAATATATTTTATTATGTACAGTTATTCCTGCCTACGGTCGATTGGTATATAACGCCATATGGTGTTAAGCCATACGCCATTTATGTAGGTGTATAAAAGTTTAATAAATAAATAAATTTTTCGTTTCACAAACTTCGGAATTAAGAGCTTTCTTATGGTTTTGCTCCCATAACTAAAAAAAAACTA